TTTTTTTTGTTTGTCTGATTTTTGAGACAGGATTTCATTGTGTAGCTCAGGCTAACCTTGAACTCGAGATCCTCCTACCTCTGCCTCCTAAGTACTGAGATTACAGGTGTATACCACATGCCCACCTGGATGTTTTATAATATAATAAAAATTATTAGAAAAATGAAAAAAAAAAGGGCATAAAAGCACAAGCCCCAATGATTTTATCATTTGATTGACAGATATAAATTACTCTGGTAAATTGTTACAACAGTTCCTAAACTTGAGGCTGGCTTTAGTGGTACATGTCTGTAATATCTGCACTCCAGAGACCAAGGCAGGGGGATTGCAAGTTCAAAGCCTGGGCTAGATGGAAAGCCTATGTCTCAAAACAAAACAAGTCCTTGAACACTTACTCTTGCTGTCTGACCACATGCTATCATGGGCATCACTGGTCTGATGAACCATAGGCTGGATAGTCACCTGTCTGCCAAGAATAAAATGAAAGCTGGAAGGCACAGTTTTACTCCCCTCCAATCTTAGATGGCCTCCTGGGGATGGTATTACAGCCTTGCAGCCTCCCTGATTTCTTGGAGAGTCCATTCCTATGTGTTCCTTTCTAGTTTAGTGGTGCGATGCCTTGCCTTATTCTCCCTCTTTTGTTGTCACTTTTTCTCCAACTCTTGAATTTAAATTTCTATGTGCCGTTAGTTTTTCTTCCATTCTTATTTTACATTTCTTTTCTTCAATATGCCCTAATTTTTCTAGTCCCTACCAATTAACTGTTCTACATCCTGGCTCAAAAATTTTCTTATTAGATTTCCTACTTTTTTTTTTTAATCTAGAATTTTCTCATCTTGCAAATACTTTCTGTCCTGCCACATATAACTGAGAACTCAAGGAACTGTACTAAATGAGGAAAAAGGGAAAAAAGCTAAGCTATAGGATTAATACTTGACACACTTGTATCCAAAGTTAGTCAATAAATTGTAAATCAGTTGTTCTTTTCTATGCTCTCCATTCCCACCCCGGAAGCTACAGAGTCAGATGTGAATTTCTTGTTCTTATCATTATGGGATGTCAAATTTGCAAACTCCTAGAAAATGTAACAGTCTTAAAACACCAGTTTTTGAAAGCAGCTAGAAATATTGGGAGTATTACCCCACAGGCCTCAGGGGCTCAGATGTAAATACCCATGGCTGCCACACTCTTCCCCAGTCTTCTCTTTCTAGGGCAGGACATTTTCCCTTTCTGCTGTCATTTTCTCATTATAAACAGAAGAGGTCAAGTCAGGTAGTTTTAGATCTCTTCTTGACTAAACTGCAGACACAGTTACCACATAGACTCATCCCCGAGAGCCAGCTGCTGACATCTGGCCAAGTCGATGGGCCTGCGAGGATTTCCATTAACCCTTGTGCCCATTAGGCATTTAAGTTAATTTTCCCCTCAACCATCTATCTCCTGACCAAGCGTTTTAAACTTTTCTATTAAAGTTGAGAAGAAAATTGAACAAAACCCAATTCTGCTTCTTCTTGACAACACTTAAAAATGTTTCAATAAGAAAACAGCTGTTGCTAACTAGCTAATAAAGAAGTACTGGACAACCACTTGGGAGGCAGAGGTGGGAGGATCACACTTTGAGACCAGCCTGGGCAAAAAGTTATCAAGACCCTATCTCAAAGAACAAGCCAAGCGTGGTGGCTCACACTTATGATCCTAGCTACATGGGAGGTAATGGCAGGAGGCTCACAGTCCAAGGTTGATCCTGGGCAAAAGCATGAGACCCCTATCTCATGCATGGCTCAAGTAGTATAGTACTTGCCTAGCAAGTGTGAGCCCTGTGTTCAAAACCAAAGTGCAATGCACCCTCCCAAAAGTATTAACACTAGGAATTAAATCCCGAGCCTCTCGCATACTAAGCACATGTTCCACCACTCAGTTACACCCCTAGTCAAGAACTTGGTATTATCCAAAGTTTTACATACATGAAAGGAAGCTATAACTTTTAAATAATTATCAGTGTTAAAGTAATCTTTTGAGTTCTTTTCTTACTGTTTCTAAATTGCTGAAAAAGTCTGGTGTGTCTAATGCTACAACAAACAATCCAAATAATTAGGCCTGGTCCTCACCTTTCAGGAATCATTCTGGACATTACTGAAGGGGATTTGAAGTAACAGGGATAAGAACAAGTACAAGTGGCTTTTCTTCTGTGAGACAAGAGCTTGTCTCTAATAAAAGAAAGGAAACACACCGACACCAAACGCAAAGGAAGGTACTGTGCAAAAAGTCAAGACTCACAGAGATCCTGAAGTGACCCTCGACCATGCACATGGTTTCAAGTGACTCGTGCCACCTGGAATTGCACAGCTCCCATGGGCAGGCTCTTTGAAATATGTGGAGAGGAGCCTCAGACAGTCCTTTTCTGTCAAACTAATAAGTGATTCTCCCTTAGGGAATTTGTTTTCAGATAACACCCCCACTCCTTTGCTTTTGTCTTCATGAGCTTCCAGAATCAGTATGAAAACTGGATCTTTAAGGCACAGGATTGTGGGGGCAGTGAAAACTCCTCTGCACAGTACTACCAGTGGTGGCTACATATTTCTAACAGTTACCATTTGTCCAAACCCACAGAATGTACAACACAAAAGGTAGTACTAAAACCTGTGGTCTTGGGGTGACAATGGTGTATCAACTGATGGTGGTAACAAATGTACCAAATGGTGGGAGATGGTGAGAACAAGGAGGTCTGCATGTGTACAGACCTCTGCATGTCTGCATGTATACATGTACTCCATGTATACAAGGAGTATAGGGCACCTTCCTCTCAATTCTGTGTAAACTTCAAGTCTGTTTTTTAAAGGGACCTCTTTAGTCCCATTCAAGGTAATACCAATTTGCAGCTACTGTTTCTGGTCTCTCACAGCTCCTGCTATGTGAGAAGTCCATCAAACATGAGAGAAAAGCACTTCCACAGGTGTGTGAGACGTGACCAGTGGTCACTCCCCTGGCAAGTGGTGGGATATGCACTGAGTGCTGGCCACCCATGGCAGGCTTCCCTCCTCACAGCACAGTTACTGCACAGGCTCACCTCAAGGTGCTCTTCCTGTGACGAGGCCAAGGTAAGGGACCGACAGGAAGCAACAGGAATGCGTGGGGCAGCACTATTGAGACTGACGCTGCTGTCAGTCTCATGTGTCCACTTGCAGCACCCATCACTTAACAGGAGGCAGTGATGGAGAGGAGGAATTGGAACCAGACTGCCTCCCCACTTACTACCCGGAGACCTGAGTGTTATTAAAGGTGGGGGAGGCTTTCTTGGGGAGGTTTGGTGCTGTTTCTTTTCCTCTGTTACTTCCTTTAATTTCCTGCCATTCATTTCTTCCCTTTTACCTCAAGAGATTATTGTTTTTACTTACCATCAAAGCTTTTCCTCTCATATAGATCTTGGGATGACTCATAATCTGAATGGATTTTTAACAGCAGCTCCCAACCTGGCTTCCTAGAACCTTCTGGAGAATTTTTCTTCCTTCCTTCCTTCGTCCCTCCAGTCCTTCCTTCCTTCCTCTCTTTCTCTCTCTCTCTCTTTTTGGTGGTACTGGGATTTGAACTCAGGGTCTCATGCTTGCTAGGCAGGCGTTGTACCACTTGAGCCACTGCACCAGCCCTTTTTTTGTGATGGGTTTTTTTCTAGATAGTGTCTCTTGAACTATTTGCCCAGGGTTGGTTTTGAACTGTGGTCCTCTTGATCTCTGCCTCCTGTGTAGCTCAGATTATAGAAGTGAGCCACTGGTGCTCTGCTGTAAAGTTTTTATACATAAGCAGATTCCTGGGTTCCATCCCAGTTCAACCAGGCCAGTGCAAGACTGTGTATGTGTAAAACGCTCCCTGGCATATCCTGACCTGTCCTCACCTAAAACAATGCCTTTCCATGTCCTACTCCCACTGGATTCAGGCCTGCTCCAACAACACCCCAACTTCAGCATGGGTTACTACCCGAACAATCCCTTCCCCTGGTTCTTTTTCTTTTTTAAAGAATTTATCATCATTTAATACACTGCATCTGTTTAATGCCAACATCCATGAAAAGACACTCTGTTTTGCTTCTTGCTCCCTCCCTGTACATAATAAATGTCAGGCACTTGGTAAATATTTATTGACTTGATAATAAGCACACAGTCTAGTGAACTGATGGATTTTAGTGCTGTTTGCACATGGTTCTGAAATCCATTGACCACAGCTGTTCAGAAACAGCATTACTGACCAGCTGAATGGCTGAGAGCTTTTCCTGCAACACCCGCTGGTTTGCCAATGACAAGAGGGTAGTGCTCTCCCTCTTCAGCAGTCCAGGGTGTGCTGCACAGTCAGCAGTTCAAGGATTTAATGCCCAACTATTCCAAAGCTGCCCATGTTCACAGTGCAATGGTCTGCCTTTGTGTTAAGGCAGATCATAGGGGAGCTGGCCTCTAAGACTGGGTATAGGACGTTTTCTTCTGTGAATAAGCCTAGTTGTACCCCATCTCACCCTGTTTCGCTGTTCCCCACTCACCCTCCCAGCCCTGCCTGGGAAACCAGGAATCACACTGCAATGGGAAAATACAGAGACTTCAAAAGGTTTCAGGAGCCAGGGGCCTAGTCTAGGTGTGGTTCCAGCAACTAGCATCTCAAGGAAGAAGGTGAAGCAGACCTACCTGCGCTAATAAGGATCAGTAAGAGCTCCCACTCCACAGTCACAGTCACCCTTCCCTACAAAATGCTGCTGCCAGTATGCAACACAGAAGCAAGCACAAAAGTACTCTCCATCTTCCTCATCCACTGTGAAGATGAAACACAGCTGTCTGTATTTGGCTCTGCTCTGAGTGAGCATGCTCAATGATATCAGTGTCTATAAGAAATACAAGAGTAACTGTATGCTTGTAAGTAATGGGATTTGGATGGAGAAGAAAATTTATCTTAAGGAAGATCATGTTTTCTGAAAGGAGAACATTAAAAGTGTGAATTACACAGCTTAAGGAAATACCTACAGTACACGTGCAGCAGATGGAAGGAGGAAAGACGGTGCACAGGGGATCATAGCGATTGTGGATGTGAACAACTCAAGTAAGGAAACCAGGCAGAAACAGCCATCCCTGCAGTGAAGATATGGACTGTAATCAAATCAATATCAACTGTACTGGTAGACACACCGCTTTGGCTCTTACAGCTCGTCCTTTCACTAGAACAAGCACAGTACTAGGTGTAAATACAAATTCAGAAATCAACTCTCAACTAGTTGGCAGTTCCCATCCTCGAGGAGCTGCAAACTATCACCTCTAAACACAAGCTTAACATTAACAAAAAGAAGCATTACAGCTCATTTCTCATTTTGGGTTTTAACTCACTCATGGGAATCTCTAGCATTACGTTCTATATATTCTTTTTACTCCCATTCTGCTCAAAGCCTACTCCTCGCTCAGGTATCACCTTAGTAAATGATACTATTTCCTATTCAGCTGTTTAACTCTAAAACTTAGGAGACAAACTAATAAACACTGGAGGAATTACTGAAGTTATAAAATATAAGTGGATACAAAAACTAGTGAGTGAAAGTGGATGAGGAATGGAATGTGTACATAATCTCAATGTATTGTTCCATCAATTACTTATTAACTACAAAGAGAAAACAGTATGACACCTCTTTAACTATGTGATGGAACTCATATAACCAGTGTTGAGACATCACTAACAACCTGGGCCTCCAGATCCAATACAGCAAGGAGTACACAATCTCACTTCTGTCAATGGGGCACCACAGCCTCACTGTAAGAAGAAAAACTGATCAGAACTCACCAAGTGTCACAGTCATGAAAGAAAACAAAGACTAGAGACACCAAGCAGATGTGACAAGGAGATATTGCAGACACTGTGGAGCAGGCATTGTGCTCATACAGGAAAGGAAGAAAGTCAGCTCTCTGAGAGTGGTCACAGAAGACTTTGCAGAGATGGCACCTGAAACAGACACTGTCTAGAATGTTCTAGGCACAGCACAAAGGGGGAATGCCCAAGCACTGAAGTGTAGTCCTGTCTACCTAAGGAACAAGAGGATGTGGCTACTTCAGCAATGCTGGAGAGGAAGAGCATCTATCTTCTTTTGAGCCATTCCTAACTTTCTGTCACAAGATGCTCCAGGCTTATGGTGCATTTTTTCTGCCCTGGTGCTGAATCAACCAGGTCTCCAAAGACCCTAGAGTTTTAATGTTATTTGAGTATACTCTGGAAACCTCCCTCTAGCAACAGCAGGGTGAAAGACTGATGGGGTCAGTACATGAAGGCCAACAGGCCAGGAAAAGGTCCTGTAACATCCAGAGCTTAATGAAAACTAGAACTTGAGTGGCAACAATGAGGAGGAGACTGCAGGGATTTGAGAGGTAGAAACAAGAGGTAGTGGCACCAATTGGACAATGACAGGAGAAGGAGATGGCATCTTTGATGACCCCAAGGTTTCTTTTGGGGAGTCTGATAGTATATTAATGCACAAAGAATGCAGGACATTTCTGAGGGGAGAGGGGGTGAGGCCGCCTGGGTTCAGGGTGGTCATGTAGTGGGTGGTACATCAATAGGCTCAGGAAAGAGGACGGGGCAGCCAGTGTCTTTGGGGTAGGAAGGGGTGAGGTTAGAATCTTGGGTCTAATCAGGCCCGAGAGACAGAGACAGGGAGGAGAGTCAGAAAGCAGACTGTAGGTGAAACGGGACAAAAGATGTCACAGAAGCTTGGAGAGATGGGATGTTAAGAAAATAATCAACAGCTGGGTGCTGGTGGCTCATACCTGTAATCTTAGTTACTCAGGAGGCAGAGATCAGGAGGACCTAGGTTTGAGGCCAGACTAGGCAAAATGAAAGCAAGACCCTATTTTAAAAATACTCAACACATAAAAAGGCTGGTGGAGTGGCTCAAGTGGTAGAGAACATGCCTAGCAAGCATGAGGCCCTGAGTTCAAACCTGAGTGCCAAAAACTCCAGTCTAGCAGACAGCAAACACAATAGTTTTGAAAAATCCTCTACAAATGTGACAGGGTAATGGTGGTAGATATTAAAAAAAAAAATCTCAGATACACTTTGCCAGGCTCTTTATATGAGGACACACACAGTCTTCCTGGACAGTAGCATGGCACACAGAATGAGAAAAAACAATCTGCTTCTATCTTCTGACCTGGGGTAGCTCTTGAAGTGGTCCAGCTGTTCTCACAAAATGCAAAGGAAAAGGAATTCAAATGTTGGCTTCTTCTAATTTGTTTATGGCGTTACCATTCAGGAGGAGAAAACCCTAGAAATGAAAATGTCTAACAGAAGGACAGTGAAGCAAATTATATGGAACATAACATTGTATGACATAACAAATGGCTACCAGAAATGATAACTGGGGTACTACACTGAGATATAAAAAAATGTGAAGACTTCAAGTGAAAGCCTAAACTAACAACACAAGTTATGTTACAGCTGTAACAATACATTTAGTATACAATGCTCAGACCAGAAATTTAAGGTGATAAAAATAATTGAACTTTCATGTGATTTCCCACATTTTAATATATGAAATAGATTTTAAAAAATTCAAATCTAGTTCTTGTAACTTCAAAAGTACAACAGTCAGTAAAATTTACCTCTTGTGAGACAAGGTTTGAAAATGTTAAAATTTTAAAATGAAAAAAAAAATAAAAATTTTTAATGAATTTAAAGAAGACAGAATCATGACACAGCAACTCGTGAAAAAAAAATTCTTCTAGAATGAAACAAGCCTGATTCCTTGCTCAGGTCACACCCTGACCTTTTGAAAATACACATAAAAGAAAGACATTCATGTCACAACTTGTCATACAGTTCCAGATTTTCTACTTAGGACTTATTTTTCAGATGCTATTTTAAAAAGGTCTTTCTATGACCTTAAGACCCCATGCAAAAGCCATCTTGAGATTAAGCCCCACTATCTGGGGCTATTTTCCCCCCTTAAATAGCAAGACAGTTACTTCTCAGAGTTCTGGAAGTCAGTAAGTTTGAAGTGGGGGTGCCAGAATAGTCAGGTTCTGGGGAGGGCCCTCTTTTTGTTTGCAGATGTAGTCTTCCTACTGTGCCCTTACACGGCAGAGAGAGAAAGAAGAGTGGAAAGTGGGGAGTAACTTGGAGACTACTCTTTAAGTTTTCCCGCTCAAGCCGAGTGCCAGTGGCTCACTCCTGTAATTCCAGCTACTTGGGAGGCTAAGCTCGGAAGGATCTCAGTTCGAGGTCAGCCAGGGCAAAAAGTTCTCGAGAACCAATCACCAAAATAACCAGAACAAAATGGATTGGAAGAGTGGCAAGTGGAAGAGCACTGCTTTGCAAGCACAAAGCCCTGCGTTCATACCTCAGTACTGTCAAAAAAAAGTTTTCCTTGTCTCATAAAGACTGGCTTATCTGATCTTTTTTTCTAGCTGCAGCACACAAGTAGCACTAAATACTACAGAAGCACTATAATTCAGCAGCAGGTTCACATTTCTACTCACTTTCCATTTTCCCTTTACAATGGAAAGAGTCAGAGGGAGGGTTTGTGACTTTTCAAATGCAGTGGACCTTCTGAATAAATACAAAGGGAAAGTAAGAAATTGGGTGAACTTTTTATTGTCTTTGTACTTGTTCTTTCACAGTAGTTCAAACCAAAGCACTAAGTGCATGTTAAGAAACTGTCTCCTTTTCAAAAAAGAAAAGGAGACAGTGGGAGGAGGGGAAAAGAAAGATGGCCCTAGATACCCCCAGCCTGCTCCCTTTAATAAGTGAGAGGCAGCTCTGAACTGGCTTCCACTAGCATCTTTATGCTCCATCTTAAAGGCTTTTTTTTTTTTTTTTTTTTTGCTGCTGGTGTTCCTGCTGGCACCCCCTCAATTTATAGTCCACTGCTATAAACGTCTCCAAACAACTTGAAGCTGCAAATGCCTTCTAAAATGTTGTCAAGGAAATGAATGCGTCTCAACTTACTCTTCAGTCACGCTGGAACAACAGCCCTCTCACTGGAGCTACTCTTTTTGAATTCAGAATTTGGTCTCTTCCTCTCCCAGGTTTCTTGGCACTCGACCGCCTTCTAACAGCATCAACCAGGACTCTCTCATAGTTTAAACTCTGTTGTAAGACAGTTACTTTGTTCCTATTCCTCAGCCCCAGTGTATATTTGGCCATATAGTTAAATGTTTTGGCAAAAAGTTTAATCTTACTGGAAGTGACACGAATAGCTAGCTGAACTTCATCATGGGTACTTACGGATGGCAGTCACCTCACTGAGGTTCCACTCAGGCCTTTAGTGCCCCTGGCCCTGGAGATAACAGCTGATGGGCTTTAAAGATAGCCAGCCTGCCCACCTCTGTTTCTCCCACTAGATATAGGGCTGAGAATGTCACACTGAAGGTACAGACCTCACACTAAGGAGCCTGTAGAGTTGGAAAAAATGTTACAGAGAAAGGGATATTTGAGCCAGATCTTGAAGGATGAACATGAATTTATCTTAAGCCAGAAAGGAGAAGGTCAAGAAAGGCAGAAGCAAGGCACATGCACAAAAAGGAACACACGTGTGTAGACGGTGAAGTGCTCTGTGGAGCAGTTGGGTGACAGAGGAATGAACTTGAGGTGGTCATGCGGCAGTGCTGCCTCAGACTCAATGGCACTGAGCAGACTGCTAACCTACCTCTCTTCTTAAGCAGCTCAGATCAACAACTGCTACTTCTCCTTTTCCTTTCATTCTTGGGTTGCAATTAAACTCTGTTATGAACTGAATTATGTCATAAATATGTTCTTTTGTCCCTTCCTTGTCCCTCACACGCCCCCCCGCCTCCAGCTCCCAATACATATGCAGGTACCAGGGACAGGCAGCAAGGAAGGCGTCACCTTATTTGGAAGCACAATATAAATGCCAGCCAGCCTCCAGAACCACAGGCAGCCCCAGGATCTGCTCTGAAGACAGTCCACCCATCACTGGTTCTCTCCAAGGCACTGGAGTCCCAGCCCTAGCACTTCTTTCTACTGAACCTCCCTTCCTGCCTGCCTTCCTCCCCTCCACCCCTGCTCTTCTCCTGTCTAAGCCACCACTACCTCCTTCAGATCATTTCAAGGTACTTCACAGGTAGGGGTTCCCCATACCCAGTCAGCCCGCAGGAGCATTCACTTCTCTCCTCTACATCAATCCCTTCTTTGTGATTAGACTCCTTGGACACTGGAATCCTGTCAGCCTAGGTCATGGCAGTGCTGCACGTGAACACTCAAGCAAGCTTAGTAAGTGACCACGCATATGTGAGAACCTCAGTACAGCATCCACACTTTCTATTTAAACAGCTGTTTCTGTAAACGTGAAGAACCTGGACTTCAAAAACAGAAGGGAAAGGTCAAATGAACAAATGACACAAGCATTTAGAGCAAATTTCCACAAGTGTCTAATTAATAAACAAAGAAACCCATTCTTTCTCCATCCTTGAACTTCTGATACTACCATGTAACACTAACCCCACGGAGGGAGAAAGATTAAAGAGGCCAACTCAGGTCTCCACGTACTCAGTACTGACAATGCCCACTCCAATGGCAGACAGGTATGACCTTCTGAATTGCAGGATCCAGGAGGGCAGTGACCTTGCCAGAGGTCCACTACCATCTTGTCAGCACCTAGCAGTTGCTGAGACTTCTTGAGTTACCTCCTGTCTGTCTGTTAAATGAGTGATTAACCCTATAATGAATCCCTGACCAACACTAATTATATTAAGTCTCTTTACTGTGACTGTATGTGATGAAACAATAC